TGGCGAGGCAGAATATACATCAATAACTTGAGTGAATTAACAAGTCGCCAAAGGCAGTCATGAGAGTCTGTCATGTCACCGTAACGAAGATCCGTGTTTTGTCCATGAAAGTATTCAAAACTAAGATGTGTACCTGTGTGCGTATGGCAGAAGTTTTGTGTGTATGTGTGTGTGTGCATGTGTGTTTGTTTGTGCACATGTACACAAATAGCTAACACTCAAAACAAGTATATATATATATATATATATATATATATATATATATATATATATATATATATATATAGGTGTGTGTGTGTGTGTGTGTGTGTGTGTGTGTGTGTGTGTGTGTGTGTATGTGTGTGTGTGTGTGTGTATGTGTGTGTGTGTGTGTGTGTGTGTGTGTGTGTGTGTGTGTGTGTATGTGCTATGATGAACCACGACCAAAATAACAACGACGAAACCAACAAACGAAAGAGAAAGAAAAGGAAAAAGCCCCCGCCCCCCCGCCTCCCCCCTCCCCCGCGCCCACGAAAGAGAAAGAAAAAGAAAAAGCCCCCCCCGCCTCCCTCCCACCCCCCCCTCCCCCGCGCCCACAAGGCGCCCGCCGCCCTAATGGCCTCGGGGCTGCCAGCGCGCACACCCGAGGCGATCAGCTGGCGCCCGGGACCAGATGACCGGCGCCCGTCAGCTCGAGTGGCCACAAGCTCTCGTCAGCGGGACCTGGAGGAGGCCGCCCACTCTGTCACACGCCTGCTTGCCCGGGGGTTTAGCCTTATTCTCTCGGACGTCTTGTGGGCGCGCGCGTGCGTCTGTGCGTTTGTTTACTGGTTGAGAGAGAGCAGGGAGTGACAGATAAATAGATAGGAGGGATAGAAGAGAGAGGAGGAGAGAGAGGGAGGAGGGAGAGAGAGAAGAAGAGATGAGAGAGAGATATAGAGAGAGAGAGATAGAGAGATAGATATAGAGATAGATGGATATATATATATATATATATATATATATATATATATATATATATATATATATATATATATATATATATATATATATATATATATATACATATACACACACACACACAGATAGATAGAAGAGAGGGAGAGAGAGAAAAGAGCGAGGCAAAGACAGAGGGCGGAGAAGCGCTGGCACGTCGTCGCACCCCATAGAGACGCCCGAAGACCCAGCTCGCAGCACTTCGACCCTCATTTACCGAAGCGATGAATACCACCCTCGCAAAATGAACCTTAACGCGTCTTTCAGAATTTCACCGAAGAACACGACCGCTTACTCGTTACTCGCTCTTCTTCTTCTACTTCCTCTTTTTCTTCTTCATCTTGATATTATTATTATCATTATTATTCTACTTCTTTTTTCTCTTCTGCTTCTACTTCAATTTCTCTTCTTCTTTTATGTCTACTTCTTCTTCTACTTCATTATATTTTCACTCCTTTTTCTTCTTCTACTTCTCTTCACTCCTTCTTTTTCTTCTACTTCTCTTTCACTCCTCTTTTTCTTCTTCTTCTACTTCTTTTTATTCGCCCACTTCTACCTCATTTACCGAAGCGATGAAAACCGCCCTCGCAAAATGAACCTTAAACGAACCCCCGGACGCGTCTTTCAGAATTTCGCCGAAGAACACGACCGCTTACTCGTTACTCGCTCTTCTTCTTCTTCTACTTCCTCTTCGTCTTTTTCTTCTTCATCTTGATATTATTATTATTATTATTATTCTGCTTCTATTTTGTTTTCTTCTGCTTCTTTATATTCTTTCACTTCTTCTTTTCTTCTTTCACTTTTTTTTATTCGCCCACTTCTAATTCTTCTACCTATTTTTCCTCTACTTCTTCCTCTTCCATTCCCCTCCCAATTCGTTTTCTACTACTTTTTCTTCTTCTTCTCCTTCTCTCTCACTTCTCTTGTCTTCCCCGTTTAGCGTTTTTTTTTCTTCTTCTTCTCCTTCTCTCTCCCACTTCTCTTCTTTCCGCCGTTTAGCGAGATCCTCGTACCTGAAGCCCCGATGAATGGTCCTGACCCTCGCCTCCTCGGCCCATTCAAGCGGCAAAGACAAATCAACAGATGCCACATAAGGACGACTTACACGCGAGACCAAAATGAGGTTCGAGTCTCATTCAGGCGGTGAGGGTCGCATTCCGTGAGTAATTGAGACCAGGAAAAGGATCTTCGTTAGTTGTGCTTTGAGGAAGAGAGGGAAGGAGGAGGGAGGGAGGGGAGGGGAGGAAGGAGGGAGGGAGGAGGATGAGGGAGGAGGGAGGGATGGGGGGAGGGAGAGAGCAAAGGAGAGAGAGAGAGAGAGAGAGAGAGAGAGAGAGAGAGAGAGAGAGAGCAGAGACAGACAGAGAGAGAAAAGAAAGAGAGAGAGAGACAGATTCAGACAGTGAGAGAAAGAGAGAGAGAGAGTATGTGAGAGAGAGAGAGAGAGTAGTGAGAGAGAGAGAGAGAGAGAGAGAGAGAGAGAGAGATACAGACAGAGAGAGAGAGAGAGAGAGAGAGAGAGAAAGGAATAATTGCGCAACTTCTTGAATACGAGTAACATGCGTTTCAGTTCCTTTTCAGGCACAGGTTCATCTCATCAATAGATACCTATGTGGACAGAGAGAGGAGAAAGAGAAATGGAGGGAAGGGGGAGAAGAAGAGGGTGAGAAGAGAGGATAGGAGAGGGAGAGAAAGAGAGAGAGAGGGAGTGGAGAAAGAGAGGGAGAAGGAGAAAAGACAGAAAGAGGGAGAAAAAGAAAGGGAGAAAAGAGAGAGAGGGAGAGAAAGAGAGAGAGAGGGAGAAGGAGAGAAAGATAGGAAGATGGAGAGAAAGAAAGGGAGAAAGAGAGCGAGAGGGAGAGAAAGAGAGGGAGAGGGTAAGGGTGAAGGAGAGGGAGAGAGAGAGAAAGAGGAGGAGAGACAGGGAGTAGATGAGGGTAAGGGAGAAGCAGAGGGAGAGGGATAAAGAGTGGAAGAGGGAAAGGTTGATGTGGAGAAGGAGAGAGAGAGAGAGAGAGAGAGAGAGAGAGAGAGAGAGAGAGAGAGAGAGAGAGAGAGGAGAGAGAGAGAGAGAGAGAGAGAGAGAGAGAGAGAGAGAAGAGAGGAGAGAGAGAGAGAGAGAGAGAGAGAGGAGAGAGAGAGAGAGAGAGAGAGAGAGAGAGAGAGAGAGAGAGAGAGAGAGAGAGAGATAGGGGGGGGGAAAAAGGAGAAGGATAAGAGACAAAGACGGAGGGGAAAGGGAGAAAAAAAGTGAGAGGGAGAAAGGGAGACAAGGAAGAGAGAGATAGATAGAGAGAGAGAGAGAGAGAGAGAGAGAGAGAGAGAGAGAGAGAGAGAGAGAGAGAGAGAGAGAGAGACAGACAGATAGCTAAATAGATAGATAGAAAGAGAGGGAGAGGGAGGAAAAGAGAGAACGGAAGAGAATGAGGAGAGAAAGGGATAGAAAGACAGATAGATTGATAGAGAGAGAGAGAAAAAAAACGGTAGAATAATTGATAGATGGACAAATATAGAGTCAAAGATAAATAAAAAACGAAATTTCTTCTCCCACGATTTCAGGGAAAGATAAAATCTACCAAAGAAAATATCTGCAAAATTTTCGTTACAAAACCAACCAAGACTCACATTGCTACAGCTGATCTATACATAGAATAAAAAAACCAATGCAGTTTATTTTCCACTTTTCCAGTAGCTGTTTGCGTCTGTTTATCTACGTAACTATCACCACACTTTTAAAAGTCTTTGTTGGGGATTGGTGCACAGATAAGCGACCATAAAATAAAATGTATGTTTATATCTACCTACCAACCTAACTACCTTTTTATTTGTACCTAGGTGGACATTTACATATATATATATATATATATATATATATATATATATATATATATATATATATATATATATATATATGTGTGTGTGTGTGTGTGTGTGTGTGTGTGTGTGGGTGTGCGTGTGTGTGTGTGTGTGCGTGTGCGGGTGTGCGTGTGTGGGTGTGCGTGTGTATGTGGGTGTGCGTGTGGGTGTGTGTGTGGGTGTGCGTGTGGTGTGCGTGTGCGTGTGTGTGTGTGTGCGTGTGTGTGTGTGTGTGTGTGTGTATATGTATATATATACATATATATATATATATATATATATATATATATATATATATTCATTTTATTATTTATTCATTTATCTATACACACACATACTCGTCTCTATTTACCTATATTTCTATCTATATGGGTGTTTCTATATATTTGTATCTATGTACGTGTGCGTCTGTATATGCAGTGCATGGGCATACATAAGTGTGTATGTACTTTTGTACCTGTGTATGTGTATATATGTGTCTGCATAGCTTTCCATCCTTATGTATGTGTTCTTGTATGCCCGTACCCAAAGTTATTGAAATGTATACATATCTGTACGTGCGTCACTCCAAGAATTCCTGTGAATCTTGCAGTGGAAGGAGACCCCCCTCCACACACACACACACACACACACACACACACACACACACACACACACACACACACACACACACACACACACATACAAAAAAAAGGCGGGGCTCTCATCGGCAGCACTTGCAGACCAAACTTTAAACTGTGGCTGATTAACGACCCAAGTTGAACAGCAACAGACCAGCGAGATAGCAGTAATGGCCGCTGGGTTCCTGTTGTGGCTGTTGTGAGTTATGAATTTGTGGCGTCGTGGCATTGGTAACTGCAATTTGTACGAATTAATGATTGCTCTGTCAGTTTTTTTTTTTTCTTTTCTTTTCTATTAGTCGGTTTGGGATTTTTTGTTGTTGTTGCTGCAGCTGGGTTCATTGCTGTTGTTTTTGTTTGGTTGTTGTTCTTCTTGTTATTCATTTTGGTATTCATGATTTTTTGTAGTTGTAAATAAAGCTTCCCTTCGTTGTGTTATAGACAAATTGTTCAGTATGAGTCTTGTCCATTGTCATGGTAGCAGTATTATTATAATTACCGTTGTTATAGCTATTATCATTACCCTTTTGATCGTTATTGCTATGATTACTATATTCATTGTTATCATTATTATTATCATTATTGTTATTATTATTATTATTATAATTATTATTATCATTACTATTGATATCACTATCATTATCATTATTGTTATCATCATTAATATTATCTTAACAATTATTACATTATTATTATTATCATTATCATTACTATAATTATTGATATCATTATCATTATTATCATTGTAATTATTATCATTATTGCTGTTATCATCATCACCATTATCATCACTATAATTATCATTATTACTATTCATCTTCATCATCAGTATGTCATGATGATAATGATGATGATAATACTAGTAATAATAACAATAATAAAAATGATAATAACAATAATAACAACAATAAGAATGACAGCAATGATGATAATGATGATGATGATAATAATAATAATCTTAGTACTTGCATTAGTATTATTATGATTATGATGATGATTATCATTATCATTAATATCTTCTATTATTATTTAGTTATTTTTATAATTACCATTATCAATATTATTATCCTTACTCATTGTTATTTATGTTACTCTTACCATTATTGTTGCTTTTATTATTGCTATTAACATTATTGTTATCATCACTATTTTTATTATCATTATTTCTATTATCATTATCATTACTAATATCATATCATTATGATCAACATCATTATCATTTTCATTACCATCATTAGTATTATCATTATCATCATTATTACTATAATCATTATCATTATCACCCTCGTTATAATTAGGATCATGATCAACACCATGATAATTGTGATCATAATCTGTGCTATTATTTTTTGTATCAAATTCATCGTTTAACAAGCTATGACTTTGTAACATCAGTTGATTTTTTACTGATTAGTGATCTCGATTAAGTCTACGGGAGTGTATCCACATTTCACTTGCAACTTTTTAGGTTTGTTTTGATTTACTATTAATGTTATCGTTGTTATTGTTATCATTGCCATTAGTGGCATCACCATCATCATTATGATTATCATTATTGTTATTGTTGTTATCATTATCTTTATAATTATTACTATTGTTATCATTATTAACATCTCTATCATTATTAATATCATTATCATTACTATCATTATTGTTACCATCATTATTATCATTATCATTACTGTCATTATTGTTATCATCATTATTATTATTATGATCATTAACATCATTATCACTATCATTATTCTTATTCTTATTAATTTCATTACTGTTATTATTATCATTACTATTATTATTATAATTATTGACAAATCATTAATATTATCATTAACGATATTACTGCAACAACTGCTGTTGCTGTTTTTCTTAGGCTCATTATGATCATCAGTATGATGATCATGATCATTATAAGCACTGCTATTCAATATCATTACAGTTGTTACAGTTATCCTCACTTTCATGTGCAATATTCTTTGTATTATGATTAATAGCATGATTATTATTGCTGTTACTACTACTACTACTACTACTACTATAACTCCAGGGGGTCCTCGACTTACGATGGAGATCCGTTCCTACGATTGCGTCGTATCCGAATTTTGACGTAAGTCGGAACACACCTAAATACAGTACATGTACGTACGCACATAAGCACCGAAGTCACTCACATATGCTAATGCAGTACGTATACATGCATTAAAGTCTAAAATCTAAAACATAACAAGACACTTCTATGGCGTACATGAAAACATAAATAGGGTTAAAGGAACACGCGGAACGCAAACTGTAAATACTGCAATACTGTAAATGATTTCTAGCGTCGTGGAGACCGTCGTAAACCGAGGACCTCCTGTATTATGGTCATTATTGTTATCACTAATGATATTACCTATCTTATATTAAATATTGTCATGATACTATATTAACATATCTTTAATTACCCTAAATGATGTATAGATCTGCATGCGCTAACTTTGCGAAGGACGACTTAGTAAATGAATAAAAGTAATAATGATAATAACAATAGATTTGATAATACTAATAAATAAAACACTTGATGAAACAAACACACATGCAAGTACGCACACACACACACAAACGCACACAACAAACCAAAACTTCGCAATACATACACAAACGTAAATAGGCATCCCCCCCCAGATACAGAAAAAAATATCGATGACAGAAAAAGTTATCAAAATCATTGCATAAACACAACGAACGAAAATGGAAAGTGAAAAAACACACAAAATATAGACGCATGAGCAATGAAAAAAGAATCAACAACTCTGATTAAACTGCTACAAGTGTCTTACCAAGGATCACAACAAACGAGTGCATGGCTGGTGTTGTCTTGAGGATGTGAACGAACTGGGTTGAAGCTGATGGCGAGTTTCGGTTGAATTTCTTGTCTTCGGCGTGTGGTTCGTCCTAGCACATCCTAGCGGGCTGATGGTTCGAGCACCTTTGTGTAGCGGAAGGAGGTTGGCTGAGCTCTGGGCTGAGGTGAGTCTGGGGTGGCGCTTTTAAACTTTGGCCGTCCGGGATCCAAGATGGCGCGCGCAGGCCGAGGGTGGGCGGAGGACTTTCATTCAGAGCAGATCAACCGTCCACGTGATGCGACTAATTTTCAAACGCTCGTGTATATATATATAAAATGTGACGCGACGTAACCATAGCTCGACGGAAAATGTGTAAATAGATAATAACATATTCTCTTTATCAACTTTTCAAAGTATGCATATCCCCCCCGATTTCATTCATCGTCGAGCTCCACCTCTTCGCCTCAAACTGACCAATCACGAGGCCGGAATGCGATGACGTAACAGGTCAAACAGCCATTCACGTCACACCAAAACACCGACGTCACTTGAGAAGCTTTACAACGTCTTCCTGAGCTTCTGGACACTGGAGACTTCGATTCCAAACGGGTGACTTTTTTTCTTATCTTTTTTTCTTCTTTGTTCTTAACTGTTTCACCTTTAGACACTCTCTTTATTCTTCTTTCCCTGAACTACGATCTATGTGTAACGAAGCATGATGCAGATGCTGATGTAACTGGATGGAGATTTTCGAGCCTTTCGAAAATAGAATTGGATATCATGCAACTTTTTTTCTCTTGAGAATGAAGTTAATTTATGAAATTTTGAATGAAAAAACATCCATGTCTTCGGATTCATGACACCGAAGGAATATATGTTTTGCTGTGCCGGCCCTTCTATCTGTCTTTCTCCTTCTCTCTGATATCTATTTTCTCTCTCCTTTTCTCTCTGTCTCTCTTTTTCTATGGCTCTCTCTCTTTCTGTTTTTTTTTTTTTTTTTTTTTACTTTTTTACTTTTTTTCTCTCTCTTTATATTCCTCTTTCTCAATCATCTATCATCTTTTTCTCTTCCTCTCATGCTCCCTCTTTCTCTCCTTTCTCTCCTTTCTTCTCCTCTCCTTTCTCTCCTTTCCACACGGAGGAGAGGTAAGCTATTTTGACCCCACAAAACCGACCCCAAAAATCCGGGAACCTCTCCAAAATACCGATCATAAATCCGGTATTCAGAAATCCGAGAATCTGGAATTATTACTACAATTATTATGATCATTTTTATTAACATCATTATTCTTATTATTATAATTATCATTACCATTATTATGATCATTTTTATTAACATCATCATTCTTATTATTCTAATTATCATTACCATAATCATCATCATTATTATTACTGTCATCATTATTGTTATTATGATCATTATCTTTATCATTATCACTATTACTATTAATAAGATCATCATTATCTTTATTATCATCATCGTTGTTCTTATCATTATCACTATTATTAGTATTGTTGTTATTCATTATCATTATTGGCATTATTATCATCACTATTGTTATTACTATTATCATTATTATCATAATCATAATCCTTATTATTATTATGATTATCATCATCATCATCATTACTTTAATTGTTGTTATTATAATTATCATCATTATCATTAAGATTATTATCATTATAATCATTGCCATAATCATTATCATTACTATTGTTGCAATTATCATTATTATTATTCGTATATTATTATCATTAGTCATAATTATCATTACTTTCATTATCATTATGACAGTTATTATCATTATTGCAACAATGATTATTATCACTTATTGTTATCCTTATCATCAACATACTCATTATCATCATGATCATTAAGCTCATTATTATCATTACTGTTATCATGGTTACTTTTGTTATTGTCATTATCATCAACCTTATTGTTATGCTTATTTTCATCATCATTATTTTTATGACTATTATAATCATTATCATTTTCATTTTTTAAATTATTATCATGATCATTATCACTATCATTATTACCATTGTTATCATTATAATAATGATTATCAATATCATCATTATCATCATCATCATCATTGTTATTGCTATCTTCATTATCATAATTATTGTTATTATTATCGTTTATAGCATCAACACGATTATTATGATTATCATCATTATCATTATGATTATCATCATTACTGTATATGTTGTTCTTGTTATTATTGTTGTTAGTGCCATTACTATCATTATTGTTATTGCTATCATTATCACTATTGGTATTGTTATTACCATTATTGTTTTTTTTTTCATTCCCTCTATTGTTTTTTACTGTCAATGTCATTATTTATTCAACATTTCAAAAGAAAATGCAATGGTTCTGATTTTCAAAGATGCATATTCGTCACTGAAACATTTGTTTATATATTTTCATTTATATAAAGGCATATCAATAGAGCAACATTTAGTGTTATGACAAATAAGAGTAAATTATGATACTCGTTTATAAATGGTTTGTATGTTTAAATGTTTGCAAATCATTTGGGGGAAAGCAAAAAGTTTGTTATTTTAACGATTTCTCGTCATACGAGCCCGGGCCTTCCTCCATGTAACAGATAAGCTGAGTGCGGGTATTTTGTCATGTTTTACCCTGATATTATAGATCACAATACTTGATAGGTTTATTAACTTAGTTGTTAAATACCTTTGTGTTGATCCATGATAATTGAGACGAGTCCTAGCCTTCCTCCATTAACAGAGAGAGGAGAACTGGAGAAAATATTGAGAACAGCACGCCATAATGCCTTGTTGCCAGGGGAAAATAATGCTAGTTATTTCGTTATTTTTAGTGGTTCGTGGATACAATAACGGAAGTAGTCGCAGGTGACAGTTCCGGAGGGTATCAGTGAATAGATAGAGAATGGAATTAGTTATGAGACGAAGTGTAAGAGAGGAAAATTATAAGGATGAAAGGAAGGGAAATGATCGGCTTATGGCATAGGCAACATCATGGAAAGAACACGATTGGACTGCGTGTGAAGGTCTCGATTTCGTCTCACGTATACTTTCATTATGTTTATTAAAATGTCATTGATTTCTAATTAATAGGAAAAGGGAGGGTATATAGAATTAACTTTAGATATGAATTAAATTATTTGAGAATATTGCTTATTTTCATTATTATGTGTATTGCTAAGATTTACAGAATGATATGCCATTTGTTCATTGTTTGGTTATTGAATAAAATATTAAGGGTTACAAATGCTCCTATGGCCGTTATAATAGGCACACTCAACAGACCCACGAGCCTTAAAGACCGTTACGCTTCGCTACACACAAAACTTAACGGTACAGTAAATGCAGTAAGAATAGGCCTACATTAAATAAATTGGCATAGGAAAAACACACAAATATGACATCTTTACAAAATTGATCAGAATAGATATAGGATAAATTGGAATTTATTACATCTTTACTAAATTCATTAGAATATAGATAGGATAAATTTGAATATAGGAAAAATTCTTTTTCGACATTTACTACTGTTGTTTAGCTATTAATATCACTGTCATTGGTATTACTATTATTGCATTCGCACTATTGTTCTATTATTGTATATTATTGTTATCAGAATTATTATCATTATCACTACTATTATCATTATGAGTTTCATCGTTATCATTTTGTTTCATTATGATCTTTATTATCATCATCATGATTATCATTACCATTATCATTATTATTATTACTACTACTATTATGACTATTGTTTCCATTATTTTTGTCACTCATTTTTATCATTGTTATTTCTGTCATTTGTATTATCATTATTATCATTGTTATTACTATCATTATTTGTATCATAATTATTATCATAATCATTAGTGTCACTGTTGTTGTTATGATTATTTTGAGGACTATTATGATAATGGTGACGATAATTATTGTTATGTTTACCATTATCATTATTGTTTTTACTATTATCTTTATTATAGTATCATTATCATTATCTGGGTGGGTGCTTCATGCTCAGGGGGATATGAAGCAATAGTGTGGTAGCCTAGGTAGCATTAAGTGCTTGCGTGCCTTCTCGCTTGCAGCTGCCATCGCTGACTATCCTAGTGTGAAAAAGGAAGCAATTTCGCATAAGACTCCCATGCCAGTGCATAGCCTCTTCTTCATCGAAACCTGCGGTGCCTTCTCTTGGCCACCCATGGAAACTGGGCACTTTGTGGTCCCAGGCTAAGCTGTGGGGCATCTATGAGCAGCAGGAGGCTCCAAAGGTACTGAGTCATGGCCCACCAGAGTGTGGACACGCCCTGGCTCTGTACCAGCTCCTGCCCCTCAGCCCCTTTGGGTGAAAAGGCTGCTCATGGGAGGGGGGTCTTGCCAGTCTTCCCCAAAGTTCAACTCATCGGTAATACAGTATATAAAAGGAAATGCTGGGGAGAGGGGAACTGCCCCTCCCACCCAGCAAGGAAGGTGGGCTGTGGGTCCCGTTGGGAGGGTGATTGCTGGGGTTCAGGATGGGAACGGGAGCTGCTCATTCCGCCCAAGCTCTGGCAGCCACAGGCAGACGTTGGGTTCCACAGCCTGCCGCCCCCTTTTACATGGGGAAACGTCTGTGGGGGTGACGGAGGTGGCATCCTCGTGGAGCAACTGCCCAATGGGCTATCTGGGAAGGAGCCTGGAATGTCTGGTCTTTACGGGAGGATAATATTCACTTCAGTTCCCTGCTATCGAGGGAAGTGAAGTGAATTAGTATAGGTGGGTACACCAGGGCGATGGTCACCACCTCCAGGGAGTAGCCATAGCCATCTCCAATCAATTTCAGTGGTAGAGGTTTCTTCAGCTAACGAGTGTATTATGGAATTGAGACTGAAGCATGTCTGTCTCTCATTGCTGTGTAGACCCCTACCATTATTTCTAAACTTGAGAAAAAGGCGTTCTATGTCAAACTCACATACGTGGCAGACAAATGCCCAGGTGAGACATTTGCGTTGTACTGGGTGACTTCAATGCAGTATCCGGCTGTGATCTAGTTGGCTACAATATGATAGTCGGTCCTCATGGCTCGGGGGCTGATCTCAGTAGCGAGAACAGGCTCCTTCTCCGGGACTTGTTAGATCCCAGAGATTGAGAATTCCTGGCTCTTGGCATCAGCGCTCCAACCTACATTGCTGGACTTGGTATAGTGATACAGGCATTTTGGCCAAGTTCTTAG